TTTTTTTTTTTTTTTTTTTTTTTTTGGAAGGGAGACTGTTGATGACTGCTCCAATTTCCTTGGGGGATATAGAGCTATTCAATATTTCTACCTGATCTTGACTTAATTTTAGTAGATGGAACTTATCAAGAAAATTGTCCATTTCTTGTAGATTTTCAAGTTTTGTCGCATATAGGCTTTTATAGTATGACCTAATGGTTGTTTGGATTTCCTCAGTGTCTGTTGTAATGTCCCCCTTTTCATTTCTGATTTTGCTGATTTGGATAGTTTCTCTCTGCCTTTTAGTTAGTTTGGGTAAGGGTTTGCCTATCTTGTTGATTTTCTCAAAGAACCAGCTCTTGGTTCTTTGAATAGTTTTATTTGTTTCTGATTGATTTCAGCCCTGTGTTTGATTATTTCCAGCTGTCTGCTCCTCTTGGGTGTATCTGCTTCTTTTTTTTTTTTTTTTTTTTTTCCCTAGGGCTTTCAGTTGGGCCATTAAGTTGCTTGTATGAGATGTTAAAATTTCTTCTTAAAGGCACTTAGAGCTATGAATTTTCCTCTGAGCACTGTTTTCATTGTGTCCCATAAATTTGGGTATGTTGTACCTTCATTTTCATTGAATTCTAGGAAGACTTTAATTTCTTTCTTTATTTCTTCCTTAACCCAGCTGTCATTCAGTAATGAGTTGTTCAGTTTCCATGTGTGTGTAGGTTTTTGCTATTTCCATTGTTGTTGAGGTCCAGCTTTAGTCCATGGTGGTCAGATAGAATACAGGCAATTATTTCAATCTTCTTGTATCTGTTGAGGCTTGCTTTGTGACCAACTATATAGTCTATATTGGAGAAGGTTCCATGATGTGCAATTTTGGAGCTTCAAATCCTCTGTCTCTCAGAAATGGTGTGCGATTGTCGCTGCCATCTTGGATCTCCAACCTTTTTCAAAGATGAATGGAAATAGAAACTTTCTTTCAAGGGGAAGAGGTGAGCACAAAGTTTTGTACCGGGTTAAGCTTTGATTTAGTCAGGGATCCCTAGAGGAACAGAACCAGGCAGATGAACACACACACACACACACACACACACACACACACACAGAGGAGCTTACCAAGTGAGCTTTAGAATAGTAACAACAACCAAATAACACCGAAGCCACTGAGAATCAAGTACTCAGTCCTTAAGGCTGGGTACTTAAGTCGTCCCAGAATAGCTCTCACTGGGGAGACAACAGAGTAAATAAACTCTCCAATAAGAAGGAGGCCACATAAGGCAGAATAACCATCCTTCTGAACCCTTTTATCTAAGCTCCTACCAGAAGAATCTTCCCATGCCAATCAAGGCAATCAGGACAGTTCTTCAGGTGAGGTTCCCTATTCAGGTGATTCTAATTTGTGTAGAGTTGAATTGACATTAAAGCAACCATAATAAACTCCTGTTGTGTACCAGGTACTCTTAGGTTCCAAGGCTACAAGGCATTCATTCATTCATTCATTCATTCATTTATTTATTTTGTAGAGCAGGTACAGAAGCAGATAAGAGTAGAGTAGAAAACCTTTGTTCTAGGAGACTGAAGATAATATTTGTTCTCTCCCCCTCCTCTCTTCCTCCTTCTGAAAGGACTTCAGGTAGCCCAGGCTAGCCTCAAACTTACTATGTAGCTAAGTGTTGTTATGAGGAGCCCACCAGAGATGACCACTCAGACACAGTTTATGAGTCTTTAAACCAGCTAGCTGGGACTACACTCAGGTATCCAGGACTGAAATGTAGCACTGAGTGTCCAGAGCACAGGATTTTTGAAGGCAGAAAGCACAGCTTGGCATCTCACTCTACAGCTGCAGGGGCTTGGAGCAAGCAAGCAATTTAACAGAAGCTAAGATAAGCAGTTAGCTTTAGGGGATTCTGCACAAGCAGGCAGTTTAGCAGAAGCTAAGATAAATTAGCTGGGGCATCTTGACCTTGAGTTCCTAGAATAGAACGGTTAGGTAATTTCCCACAGGATTCTCCAAAAGGAGATTAAATCTAAAAATGGCCTCAGCAAGAATATAAGATGGAGGAACCTCTACACTGTCTTGCCCTATCTTAGTATGATTTTGAAGTTCTTATTTAATTTAATTTATTATTTGTGTATATGTGGGTTTTATAGCTGTGTGTGTATGCACATATGCACATGCAACACATATGCACATGCCATAGCACACATTTGAACATCAGAGAACGTCTTAGAAGTCAGTTCTCTTCTTCCACCATAGGTTCTTCAAATGCAGCTTAGGACTCCAGGCTTTTTACCATCTCATAGGTTTGATGTGAACTTCTGATTCTCCTGCCTCCACCTTATGAATACTGGGATTACAGATATGTGCCACTGTGTCTGGTTTATGTGGTGTCAGGATTTGAGTCTCAGGATTTAAATATGGTAGGCAAGCACTCTACGAACTGAACTCCATCCCCAGCCCTGGGAAGAATTATTCTAAAAGGATATTAAAACATGTTCACCTGCACATAGGAAGACAGAGAAGCCATTCTGTTTTGTACAGAATGAAGGACCCAGGAACATTCCCTCACATACATCGTCAAATGATATTCAACATGATAAAGAAACTATTTGATGGAGAAAAGATGGTCTTTCAAAGAAATGATTTTGGGAGAAGAATGAAATCATGTCTTCATAATTCACTTTAGATAAAAATTAGCTCAAAACAGATTAGAGTCGCACATGTAAGAGTTAAAACTATACTTTTAGAGGGAACATGAATGTACCAGTTGTGGTAGTACATGCCTGTATTCTCAGCACACAGGAGGTGGGGGGGCAGGACAGTTTGTTCTACAGTATCCTGGGCTACACAGGAAACTCCCTACCAGGCTGGATGACCTATTGAAATCCTGTCTCAAACAAAGAAAAGCATAGAGATACATGTAGGAAATCTTGACATCTGGTCAGTTGATGTAATTATTTTTTTTGGCAATGACACTAAGAGAAGAGACAAAAATAACAACAGAATAGGCAAATTAGGTGGCACCAAAACTTGAAATAAAGTACATCCCATGCTGCAGGAGACAGTGCTTACCAATGCAGTGCCTAACATAGGGTCAGTATCCAGCCTATGGCAAGAGTTTCTGTGGCCCAGCAATAACAAATCAGATTTGCTGTGATTTGGATCTTTAGTGTCCCCAAGGGCTCATGCTGTTTCCCAGCCTGATGCTACCAGGAGGTTGTAAAACTGTAAGGCGGGGGCCTAGTGTGAGGTCTTTGAGGGAACTTGTGGGACTTTGTTGTCTTCTTCCTTCTGTTGTCTTTTTCCTTCCTGGGGCCATTGGGTGAGCCGTTTTCTACCTCTATAGGTCTAAAGAAACAGGACCAAACAACCATGGGTGTAACCCTCTAGAACTGTGAGCCCAAACAATCCCTTTTCTTTTTCAGGTTGATGATCTCAGATGCTTGTTATAGTGATGGAAAATTCAGTAATACACAACTGGATTTAAAAAATGTGAGCAAGTGGTGGCTGGAGAGAGGTTTACCACTGTTAAGAGTGCATACTGCTCTTGAGTCCAGTTCCCAGTATCCACATCTGGCTGCTCACAACAACTCTAGCTCCAGGGCATCTGACATTATTTTCTGGCCTCCTCAGGCAACTGCAACGTATATATATAGACACAGAAGTGCATGTGTACACCCGTGTACACACACACACACACACACACACACACACACACGAGAGAGAGAGAGAGAGAGAATTAAAAAATAAAAATATATCTTTAAATTAAAAAAAGATTTTATTTTATTATTATTATTTTCTGAGGTAAGGTCTCTTATATGGCCCAACGTGGTCTGGAGCTTGCTATGTAGCTCAGGCTAAACTCAAACACCTAATTCCCTGCCTCATGCTCTGAAGCACTGAGATGAAGGGTCTCCTGGCACACCCAGCACACTGTAGTCGTCTGACATTAGAATAGCCAAACTGCAGAACTCAGTCAAACCTGTGATGCACACAGTAAGAAGCATCATAAAAAACAGACATGTATAGAGTGTGCATTTGTTCATTTACTGTGTGTTTGTGTGTTTATGTGGGTGCACATGGATGGCTGAGTATGTGTGGAGGCCAGAGAGCAAATTGATGTGATTCCTCAAGCCCTGCACCTGCTTTTTGTTGTTGTTTTGTTTTTTGAGACAGGGTCTCTCATTGGCCTGGAACTTTTTAGTTAGGATAGGGAGCTGGCCAGTGAGCCCTGGTGAACAGGGCTGTTTTTTCAGAGCTGGGCTTAGAATCACGTGCCACCATGCCCACATTCTTAAAAATACGTGAGTTTGGGGTTTCAAACTTGGGTTCTCACGAAGCATCAGCTAGTGCTTTATGTCTTGGCCAACTTCCAGCCATTCCTTACTTTTTTTGTTTGTTTGTTTTTTTAGAGCCGGGTGTGGTAGTTCTAAAATTTGCCATTAACACTAGTGCTTGGGAGGCAGAGGCAGGAGGATCTCTGTGAGTTCCAAGCCAGCCTGGTCTACATAATCAGTTCCAGGTCAGCCAGGTGAGACCTTGTTTCAATTTATTTTTTATTTATTTATTTTTTTATTCAGGTAAACAGAAGTAACAGTTCCATTACAGTGTTTTCAGTCACTCATTATACTTCCTTTGGCACTTGTTCCCCTCTCATTGCTCCCCTCCCCTCTGTACTTCCTGCTTCCCTCAGGCTTTCTTTCTCTCTTCAGACACTCACCTTTCTGCTTTTTTATCATATGCGTCCCAGTACCCTCTTTCTCCCCTCCCAAAATTTCTTCCTAGCCTGCTCATGATCCTTTTCTAGTGCCATGACCTACAAACACACCCATGTATATAAACACACACATACACACGTGCACACACACATACACATTTCCACATACGTGGGAAAACACGACATTTTCTTCCTTGAGCCTGTCCTTTTTTTTTTGTTGTTGTTGTTCCTTCACCATGTTTATTTGCTTCAGCTAGTTAAGGTCCCAGAATTCTCAGCTCAAGGATCCTCCAGCCCTACAGCCACGTTGTGCTGCAAGCCCTTTCCAAAAGCTCTGAAGAGCTGAGTGTGTCTACACGGAAGAGGCTCCTAGTGTCCTCTGCACAGCCTGGGAGGGCAGTGCTCAGTATCTGTACTTAGTGGAGTAGTCCTTGGGAGACACCACCAGACCCCGGCCTTTGCGATCCCCACGGTACACGGTCTCTATGATGTCAACCATCTCTTGCTTGTCTTCCATGGCCCAGTTGATCTTGTTGTTGTTGCCAGTGCCCAAATCAATCATGATATGCTTGTTTCTGAAGAAAAACGTGACAGTGCATGGGTCACACAACTCACACATCTTGTTGAAGTCCGGCACTTCTGTAATATCCACAAGATAAATAACTGCGAAATTTTTAACCTTCTCGGCGATGCTGTACAGAACCTCGTCCATCTTCATGCAAGTGGGGTCCCAGTCGTGTCCGAAACGAATGACGACCACGCGGTCCTCCTCCGAAAGAATGGCCTGGTCTACCTGCCAGCCATTGTGCAGATGCGGAAGCATGTACGACATCTTGAGCAGTCCTGCGCGGCCGGACGCCGCGAGCTGCCTCGTGTGAGCCCTCGCGGCCGGACCACCGAGTCCTTCTCGCAGTCCTCGAGCCTGTCTTATTCACTGTAACATCATGATTTTCCTGCAGATGTCATGGCTTTGTTTTTATTTTCAGCTACACACCACTTGTCTGCTGATTGGTATCTGGTCTGTCTCCACTTCCTGGCTGTTGTGAGAGACACAGCAGCAGCCATGGATGTGCCAGCATCTCTGTGCTTTGTTGACATGAAGGCCTGTTCTTGTGTATCCGGGAGTGGTACAGCTGAGTCACCTGGTAGTTCTGTTTTCAGCCTTTTGAGGAACCTCCATGGAGATTTCCACGGTGGCTGCACATGTTTATATTCCCACCAGCAATGAGATAGGGCTCCTCTTTTCTCCAGATCGTCGCCAGCGTTTAATGCCTTTTACTTCATTATCATTTTTTGTGCCATTTGTCTATGATGAGCTGGAATCTCAGAGAGCAGTTTTACTTATTTACATATTTTCAAAATATGCATTTTTATCTAATGTGAATGGTTGCTTTACCTGCGTATGTGTCTGTGCAACATGTGTTTGGCTGGTGCCCATGAAGGCCAGGAGAGGGTGTTGGATCCCTGGAAATGGAGTTCTATAGACACTGTTGAGCTACTGTGTGGGTGCTGTGACTCGAACCCAGATCATCTGGAAGAGTAACCGGTGCCTACAACTGCCACAAGCCATCTTCCCATCTCCCTAGCCCCTTACATCAGTTTTGATGAGCATTTGTCTGATGACCAAGGAAGTGCTAATTGGCTGTTCCTAAGACTTTGTGACTTGTATGTCCGGTTCAGTTATTTTGTCCCTTATTTATTAAGTTTATTTTGTGTGTATGGGCGCGTGTGTGGGTGTGCAAGCACACATGCGCTGCAGTCAGTCAGAGGGCAAGGTAGAAGCTGTTTCTTTCCTTCTGCCATGTTGGCCCCAAGGACCAAACTTAGATTATTTTAAGGCTTGTTGGAGAGTCCCTTTATCTTGCCAACCCTCGCCAATTTATTGATTGGATGCCTTGGTTTGAGTATTTAATTTTTAAGTTATAGATATTAATTAACATTAATTTTAGATGTTAATGCCCTGTCTGATACAAGGATTTTCTTCCATTCCTTTGGCCGTGTCGCTCTGGTCATTACTTCCCCTGCTGTGTGAAGGTTTTTTTTTTTTTTTTCTTAGTTTATATAATATCAAGTTAAGTCTTCACTTGAAAATGCCTTTTCTGTAGCTGAATTTCAGGTCCCACATTAAGGCCTTTGTTGTATTTTGAAATGTTTTTTGTGCATCGTGGATTGCTTTTGATAATGTATTGGTATTTTTCACAGTGTTAATTCTGCCAGTAAATGAACATGGGGGATCTTTCCATCTTCTAGAGACTTCCTCAAGCCTTTCTTCAGTGCCTTAAGGTTTTCTTTGTAGAGATCAAATTTATTATCAGGATTTTATTTCTTTTGAAAATGTTGTGAATAAGATCCCCTGGTTTCTTTGTGTTTGGTTTGCTTTCAGTATGTAAAAGGCTGGTGGTTGCTATGTCTTATTTCTTTGCTGAAAGAGTTTGTCAAGTCTTTTATTGGTCTTTTTTTCTTTTTCTTTTTTACAGAGTTTCTCTGTGCAACAAGCCCTGGCTGTCCTGGAACTCGCTCTGTAGACCAAGCTGGCCTGGAACTTACAGAGATCCCCCTGCCTTTCTTTGCCTCCTGAATGCTGGGATTAAAGGCATGTGCTACCACTGCCTGGCTTAGTCTTATATTCTGTGGACTCTTATAGATTTTTTTTTTTAAAGCATAGGCTCATGTCATCTGAAAATGGGTATAATTTTCCAGAGTTCCAGTGGCATGGTTATCAGCATATGGTAGTTATATGGCAGTACGAACAGTCTGACTTCTCTAACAATTTATACCCCTTCCTTCCTTCCTTCCTTCCTTCCTTCCTTCCTTCCTTCCTTCCTTTCTTGTGTTTTAGTACTCTAGCCAGAATTTACTTTAAGTGCTATGTTGAGTAGGAGTGGAGGGCATAGGGCTGTGAGAAGGCTCAGTAATTATGAACACTTGTTACTCTTCCAGTGGCCCAGATTCTATTCCCAGCACCCACACAGCAGCTCTTTATTATTATTATTATTAGTTACATCTTATTAACTCCGTATCCCAGCTGTATCCCGCTCCCTCATTCCCTCCCAAACCCTCCCTCCCTCATCTCCTCCCTGGCCCTGTTTTATCAGGTATCTTCAGTCCTCCTGCAAAGTCCTCCTCTGTGGCCTAGCAGGACTGCTCCTCCCTTGCGGGGTGGGGAGGTCAAAGAGCCTTCCATTGAGTTCCTGTCAGATAGTTCCTGTTCCCCTTACTATGGGAAACCAATTGGTTACTGAGCTACCATGGGCTTCATCCGAGCAGAGGTTCTAGATTATATCCATACATGGTCCTTGGTGGAGTGTCAGTCTCAGAAAAGACCCTTGTGCCCAGATATGTTTGGTCCTTGTGGAACTCCTATCCTTTCCACGTCATACAAACTCCTCCTTCTTTCATGTGATTCCCCGTACTCTGCCAAAAGTTTGGTTATGAGTCTTAGTATCTGCTTTGACACACTGCTAGGTAGTCTTTCAGGGGCCCTCTGTGGTAGGCTCCTGTCCTGTTACTTGTTTTCTCCTATGTCCAATGCACATCCCATTTGTCTTTCTAAGTGAGGGTTGATCATCTTACCCCGTGTCCTCTTTCTTGTTTATCTTCTTTAGGTGTATAGATTTCATTATGATTATCATATTTTATAGGACCATATGAGTGAGTATATACCATGTGTGTCTTTCTCCTTCTGGGATGCCTCACTCAGAATGATCTTTTCTAAATTCCACCATTTGCCTGCAAATTTCATGATTTCCTCCTTTTTGATTGCTGAGTAATATTCCATTGTGCAAAAACACCACAATTTCTGTATCCATTCCAATGTTGAGGGATATCTGGGTTGTTTCCAGGTTCTGGCTATTAAAAATAAAGCTGCTACAAACATGGTTGAACAAATGTCCTTGTTGTGTACTTGAGCAAATTTTGGGTATATGCTTAGGAGTGGTATAGCTGGATCTTGAGGAAGCACTATTCCTAATTGTCTGAGAAAGTGCCAGATTGACTTCCAAAGTAGTTGTACAAGTTTACATTCCCACCAGCAGTGGAGGAGGGTTCCCCTTTCTCCACAACTTATCCAGCATGTGTTGTCACTTGTGTTTTTGATCTTAGCCATTCTGATGGGTATAAGGTGAAATCCCAGGGTCGTTTTGATTTGCATCTCTCTGATGGCTAAGGACGTTGAGCATCTCTTTAAGTGTTTTTCTGCTATTTGATATTCCTCTACAGAGAATGCTCTGTTTAGCTTCGTACCCCATTTTTTAATTGTATTACTTGATTTATTGCTTTTTAACTTCTTTAGTTCTTTATATATGCTGGTTATCAGCCCTCTGTCAGAGGGTTGGTGAAGATCCTTTCCTACTCTGTAGGCTGTTGTTTTGTTCTGACGACAGTGTCCTTTGCTTTACAGAAGCTTTTCAGTTTCATGAGGTCCCACTTATTGATTGTTGCTCTTAGAGCCTGTGCTGTTGGTGTTATGTTCAGGAAGTTGTCTCCTCACACAGCAGCTCTTTACTGTCCATAAATCCAGTTCCAGGGGATCTGAAGCCCTCTTCTGACATCCATGGACACTGCATGCATGTGGCACACATATATACTTGCAGACAAAGCATTCCTACACATAAAATAAAAATAAATTAAAAAAAAAGGGCTGGAGAGATGGCTCAGACATTAAGAGCACTGGCTGCTCTTCCAGAGGACCTGAGTTCAATTCCCAGCAACCACATGGTCGCTCACAACCATCTATAATAAGATCCAGTGTCTTCTTCTGGCGTGCAAGTGTATATGCAGATAGAACTTTGTATACATAATAAATAAATAAAATATATATTTTAAAAAAAGGATTTTCTGCTCTAAAAAAAAAACTGGCATTGAGGTAATGGAAAACCTTGCCCAATTCCTAGAGGAAATGCTTCTAGGTTTTTCCCATTTGGCTATTCTTAAGACATATTTTCCCCTCAAATTTGAAAGAAACCATTCATATGACTACTACTACTTCTTCTGCTTTTTCTTCTTATCCCTCCACAGGAAGAGAAGGACTCTCTTCAATGTCATGTAGCCATTTCAACAAAGTGACATCAATAATGACTTTAATTCTCAGGAAAGAATTCTGTGTCTCCTTCCCATGGTTTCAGGTAATCTGTAAGGTCAGGTGAAACTTTTGTGGTAATAATGGGAACGTCCCTCAAGTTTATACTTTTTTTTTTTAGAAAAAGTTATTATTTTATTATTTTTATGTGTATGAGTGTTTTGCCTGCATGTATGTGTGCCATGTGCGTGGAGTGCTCATAGAGGCCAGAAGAGGACATCACATCCCCAGGTCTGAGTAATGAATGGTTTTGATCTGCTCTTTGGGTGCTGAAAATTGAAGCCAGGTCCTTTGGAGGAATAGCCAGTGTTCTCAACTGTTGAGCCATCCATCTCTTCAGCTCCAGTGTAGTCTTTCTTAGCTCATTTTCTATGGACTTAAGTTCCAGGAGACAGGACAGAAGAATAAAATTACCCACACATTGCCATGCCCTCTGCCACTCTATCCTTTTCCTCCTTAGCTGGCATGTTTTTGCTTCAGCGTTCTCTTGTCTTGCAAGCAAGGCCAGTCATGGAACACAAACCCAACCATGAGAAATTGTGGCTTGCTCTCAGTAGGGCACCAATAGTCCTAAACTGGATTCCCATCTCCACATTAGCGGGGTGTATGCAAACTCATAGGGCCCTCCAGCAAGGGTACCTCTGAGCATGTGAGTGCAGCTGACTGCCAGTTCCATGGGAACTTCTGACACTGGGATGGCCAGTGTCACCCACATCAAGGGGTGATATGAGTCTTCTCTCTAGTAGTCATTCGAAAAAGGCCACTGAGGGAGGTTCTTTCCCATAGGTCAGATAGGTCACCTGGATTCAGGGCCATCTTGAG